CCATAATACCAATAGATTTATACAGATAAAATAGCAATCACAAATATTGATTATTAGATGTCATATTGTAATTGTTGTGCATATTAATAAAGTTATTATTGCAGGAACAATCAATTTAAGCAATAAATGCATATCAAAATGTTTATAACAGGTAAAAATAATTGAGGGAATTTGATGTGTGTTATGATACATGGACACTATTCTGATGACTTGCATAGGAAAAGGTAATAGTCTGACAAGATAAGCCATAAATAGGTAAATAATTGAATTATCACCCCTTGATATTTAAATTGAATCGAACCAATAGATACCAGGGAGTCATTGATATGTACAATATTAGTACAATCAACCCTTATCAGTGGTTGTTATGACCGACAGGCTGGGTATCAACCAAATGAAATGAAATAAATCAAAATCTATGCAAATATAATGTGACATTTTTAAGCCAGAAAGTTAGGAATAAAAACAAAAATAAAAAAATAAAGGCATATATGATAATGCAATAAATGAAAGAATTGTATTGAGCAAATTTTAGTACTCTCGACCATTATTCCATACAATATATTTAATTGCATTTTCGGCATTTTTAAATATTATTGTATGTTTATTTATTAGTAATATTGTCACCAATGTCAGTCACCGAGCAGTCTGCATATTACTCATTTTTTATATATTTGAATCTCATTTTAGTATACTTTATCTCTCTAATTGCATAACTTACCAGATACTATGTTGTTTTTTAGAAAAGGGCAAGGACAAGTGGGCCACTAGCCAGGTGACTGGTCATTTTGTATAGCTTTTAATGTACAGTTAATGTGATTATAATTTTTTTTTGGGGTGCATATGATTTCATATTTAAAATATTTTTAGAAGCTCTATATTTTATTTAAAAATGTGTATGCACCTTTCTTTGTTTACATTTGATGTGGATGACTAGGTAAAAATAATTAGGAGCTTTGCTTTTAATGAATTTTATAATATAATAGACACTAATGGTGGTAAAATGTATATATATAAACTAGCCAAACAAAAAGATAAGTATATATTTAGTTCAAATAAAGTATTTAAAAAATTAAAATTAAGAAAATACTTTTCTTAGATTGGGATATTCAATATAGATTGGTGCAATATTTTGATAAATTTTTCAATGAAAATTGTGAAAATACAATTGATTTTAATAATCTTAATATTGTAAATAATAATAAAAAATTATTTTCATTGTCGCATTAGTGAAATAGATGTTAAGGAAACTTTAAAGAAATTAAAGTGTGAAAAAACAGCAGGATTTCACGGCATTTATTAAATGTATGTAAATGTTTAGAAGATTTGAGAGCTTTTTGGCTTCCTATACTTTTTAATATTGTTTTAAAAACTAAAGATAAGTCTAATGAGTAGAGAAAGATTCCATTAGTTCATGTTTTTAAGAATAAAGGGGACGCACTAGAGTGTGTAAATTATAAAGAAATTAAGTTGATGTGTCATACATTAATATTGGGGAAAGAGTGATTGAACATAGGTTGCGACGTCATACAAAAATTTCTCTAAATCAATTTGGATTTATGTCAAGCAAATCAACTGTAGAAGTTATACATTTATTGAGAGTTTCGATAGAAAAATATTGAGAGAGTAAGGAGAATCGACGCATGATTTTATTAATTTGGAAAAAAACTTATGATAAAAGTTCAAGATAAGTATTTTGGCGAGTTCTACAAAAGAAAGATGTTGATATTTTTTATATTCAAGTAATTATAGATATGTATACTAGAGCTATTACTTGTGTTCGAACACAAGGAGGATTGACCAAATACTTTCCTACTTCGGTTGGATTACATCAGGGATCGGCTTTAAGTCTATATATTTTTTGTTTAGTTATGGATGTTCTTGCTAGATATTTACAAGAGGATGTACATTTGTGTATGATTTTCACTAATTATATGATTCTTGCATAAAAGACTAGAAAGAGTTCAAGAAACAATTGAAATTATGGAGTTCAACTTTAGAATCTAAAAGATTTATGTTCGAATAGATCTAAAACTGAATACATTGAATGTAATTTTAGTGATGGTAGATCTAGTGGTAAGGTTGTAATAATGGGTAATCAAATCATTAAAATGAGTCTCGTGTTTATTTTTTAAAGTGATGGTGATATAGATGGGAATGTTGGATGGTTGAAGTGGAAGAACGCATCGATCCTATTGTGAGATAGAAATGTACCATGTAGACTTATAGGAAAACTTACAAGATGGCGGTTAGACCTGCTATACTTTATGACGCATAATATTTGTCTGTAAAAGATAAGCATAAAATTAAGTTTAGTTTTACCGAGATGTGAATGCTCAAGTAGATGAGTGGTTTTACACAAAGACAAAATGTCAAACAAATATATCAGTGAAAGGGTTGGAGTAGCTCCAGTTAAGAGTCACCATAGATGGTTTCGTAACACTAAATATCGACCATTTGATGATCCTGTTAGGAGAGTAGATGTTTTAGATTTAATTTATGCTAAGAAAGATAGAGATAGACCTAAAACGGCTTGGGATTTGTATAAAAAATGATCTTAAGTTATTGGAATTAAATGAAAACATGACACTTGATAGGATACAATAGAGAAAAAAGATTCTCATAGTTGACCCCACATACTGGGATAAAGGCTTGTTGTTGTTGTTATTGTTGTTGTTGTTGTTGTTGATGATGTTATTTTTATTGTTGTTGTTGGTAAGTTGTAATTTATTTTTCCTTATTTTGGCATGGGTATGTTATGGTTTGCCTAATTTGTTAGCCTTCCCTGATATTTATCTTGTAATGTTTCCTATGAAATTGAAGAGGAATGAATATTTTTGTTTTCCCAAAACCTACATCTATTATAGTGAAGCCATAAATGAGGTGCAATGTAGGGATATCCTTCATTCTATTTCACACAAATTAAAACTATAATATGTTGGACTTCTGACAATAAAACAACTAAAAAGCATAACGAATGAGGTTGTCTGAAACTCACGTCATAAGCATCTCATCAACAAATAAAACAAGCCCTGAAATCCACTCAAGCAAGGAGTGAAAGGCTGTCTTGAAAATAAGATTTATATCAGTCTACTATCATTAGGATCTATTCATTTATGCCAAAAAAAAAAGTTTCTCTCAAATGTGGCTTGAAAAGCATTTTTTGGGATTTGTACTTCTCACTTTTTACACAAATATGGCTTGGAAAGCATTTTTTTTGGATTTGAGCTTCTCATAGTAAAAAAAATGTTCATTTCGCATCAAGTATAAATTGATCATTTAATAATGTTGATTGATAATTTTTAATGTCATATCCACAAAAAATGCAAATCAAAACTCAATTTTTGTTCTAATAATTTTGAAGTCTTTCTCATCAACATCAAGTTTTTTATCCATTTTCCTTTTTTTTTTTTGCTTTTTCAGCATATAAGAACTATGTCATACGCAAAAATAATATGCAAAAGTACCTTACTTGAATATTCTTTGTAAAAATTTCCATAACTAAGAATTAAATTATGTGAAATAATAGTAATCCTTGGCATCCAAGCAAACGCTTGCCTACTTCATATGGCAATCAAGTGCTTACTTATCACAATCAAGTTAGGCCATAGAACAATGCTTTAGGGGAAAGACCTAGCACTAACAGGACTCAATTTAAGATTCATTCAATTAACTTTAATTTCAGTTTATAATTGTTGGTCAATCTAACATCCATTAATCTTTCTCATCTAAGATTTGGATTTGGGACCAAATTTATTTTTAAAATTATTATAATTAATCAATTAATTAGAATAAATTATATTATCTATTATTTAAAATAATGATAGTATGATATTGTTATATTTGATATCATCATTATCATCATTAGCCTTATCCCAAGTATTTATGAATGCAAATTCTTCATTCATTCCTTTTAAGAGTTGAATGATGTCTTAAATAAATTTTGCACAAATTTTTAGTGCAACTTCCATAAATGGTACGCCTTTGATCTATTCATTTTCCTTCAGCATTAATTCAGCCTACCTATCTTATATTCAAATATTCTAACTTTTGTTATATATATCCAAACTACATAGTTGTGTTTTCCACTAAATTATTTTTAATATATCATGCTCCCACTGTCCAAACCATTTAATTTTATCGTCCAACATAGACTCAATAAATATAATTTTTTACATACAATTTTGCAATATTCACCTTTTAAATCTCTAGGATAGTCTCAAATCGTTTAATACTCAAGAGACACCTCACATTTTCAACCACTGAGTCTAAACTCTAGAAATTATAATTTCATAGATATCCTAATTATTTTGTACCAGAAGGGATCCATGTTATGATGATACTTCAACTTATCACATCTAATTATTATATTGTATCATCTAGCAATATCGACTAATAATTATCAACGTTACACCGAGTAAAATCATATATTTATATATCATTACACTTATATTAATCAGTTGAAAGATACAACAGAACTCATATGTATTTACAGCAGAACTTATATATCATTACACTTATATAGCATTTTAAACAAGAGGGATTTTGAAAGATACAGCAGAACTCATATGTATTTACACATCCAACGCCAAAAGCAAGTGTTGTGTCTGTAAATTCATAAGAATTATGTGGTAAGTGTGTAAATCCCCCTTCTAAAAGAGATCATAGCAGTGATTTTACTAACACTGATCTTGTTTAGTCGACATCAAAGCCCAAGACAACAGAGCTAAATTGGGGCATTAATAGCAAACTAGTGACATTGCCCCGTGCAATTTCAATTTTAAAAAACATTCGTGACTGCCACTCAGTAGGCAACATGCCTCCGAAGTTAATTATCACTGTGTGAATTTAAGGAAGTTGAAGAGAAACTTGAGGACAATTCATCGCCCCAGAACATTTCTGATGCAGTTAATAAAAAGATAAATGAGGTTTCCGGAAGCAAGATAGGATATGTATTAGATTTGACGATAAATCTAACAGTTCGAACAGATAGAGAAGACCTGAGCCACCGCATCAGTGCGAATGGCGGTGAGAGGATGAACTTGAACGGGTGTTCGAGGGAGCGACGAGTCCTGGGCGAGAAAATCCCGGCACCTGAACTCCATGCCGCAACGAAGACGATTGGTATCCGTGATCGGCCGGACACTGCGGTCACTGTACAAAATGTAGTAAAGAACAAAAAATGGGTACGGATCGAACAAGCTGGCAAACACCGCTGATGAACCAGTTGGAGGGGCTTTAAATGGGTACGGATCGAACAAGCTGGCAAACACCGCGGATGAACCAGTTGGAGGGGCTTTATGGTGAACGAGGAAATATTACGTCAGTACTAATTTTTAAGTGTAATATTACATCAGTACTACGCACGTTATTTTTAAGTGTGTAGCCAATCAAAATACGTCACGACATCTCACGCGGCGGAGTAAGAAAAACGATGCAGTAACGCGAAGAATATTCCCTCCTGTGTTATTCATGTGTTATTGCGCGTTATTCATGTGTTATTGCATGTTATTCATGTGTTATTGATGTGTTATTTTGTTATTATAACACCAAGAATATTCTCAGGATACAATAACACATGAATAACACACAATAACACTTGAATAACACGGGAAATATTCTCGACAAAGAAAAAAACGGCGCAGTAACACAGAGGAATATTCTCTCCCGTGTTATTCTTGTGTTATTGTGTGTTATTAATGTGTTATTCATGTGTTATTGTGTTATTATAACACCAGGAATATTCCCAGGATACAATAACACATGAATAACACACAATAACACATGAATAACACGGGGGAGAATATTCCCCGTGTTACTGCGCCGTTTTTTTTTTTTTGCGTCGCGCGGGGTATCGTGACGTGATTTCATTGGATACGCACGTTACTCTACGTGCGTAGTACTGATGTAATATTTTTTCATGGTGAACGGCTTCACGAAAACTTAACTTTGGGTTTATTAAATTCTGTAAATAAAAAAAATTAGTATATTTGAAATTTTTTTAAAAATTAAGAAGAAATAGGGAAAATTTAAATTTATAAAATTCTGAATTTGAAATTATGGAGTTAAATAATACTTAGGGCTTATTTAAAAACTGTTGTGCAATAGTTGTGTAAGGAAGCTGCAAAAGGAATTAATGTTGGAAAGCTGTGTATATGTTTGTTTTGTGAAGTTTTGCGGTTGTTATGTTGCAGCTATTTATAAATAAATAAATAATATTGTTTATAATAGAATAAGTATTGATTACATATTTCATATATAAGAACAAATATCCAGTTTGAATATTATAAAATAAAAATTGGCATCTCATCAAACAGTGAGTAACACAACAATCAAAATTATAAGAAAAACTTATAAAACAATAATTAATTTAACATAATATTATTTTTAAAATGTAGCCAATTAATCGCACAAGATAATCACTTTTTCAAAGAAACTCTCTACGTTTGATCACTATTAGCGGTAGAATCATCGAACTGATATGCCCACCTAAAGAAGTCATGAATCTCTGATATATTCGTTGGGCATCTGTAAAAGTATTTCTCATAACTATGTGTTTGTCGCGAAGTAAGCACATAATACTATAGTCCACAGTAGCAGCATAATGCTCTAGAGGCACCGAAATTCCTCGAGCTCATCTTTCTAGAATGTTTAAAACTACAAAGCACGAACCATTAGATACAACATTAGTAAAAAAAAATAATAAAAATATTCAATTAAAATTTTATAAAATTGTAAGGTCTCAGAGCACAAAGTATAAACCAATGAATAATTTGTCACTAAAAGAAGACAATAGACCTTTAGCAAAAAGAGTTCTTGGTTGCTTTTAAATCACGTAATACCAAGCGCGTATGTGTCACAGGTCCATATCACCGTAAAAGTCACCCAGAAGAACCCCAATAGTTATACGGCTGAATAAACAGTGGTATCAGTTGTCTTAATATTGATTTCATACATGTCAAGAACTTATAACAACATATAGGTCATCCAAAAGAACTCATAAGGTCAAATATCTTATCATAGACCTCCAAACAAAAAATAAAACATACAATAAATAATACATTAAATATTATACCCAATATTATCTCGGAGGTCATCCAAGTGAGAAAAAATACATGAAAAAGAACTAAAAATAAAAATTCAACCAAATTAAGATTCATCATGTACATTATTGCATAAATCATCATTATAATAAACATTAAGTATTTTCACAATACAATGCACATAAAGTAATAGAAAATGAACAAACATTCTTTCACTCGCTAGCTATGACATATGTAATTCGCTCTCTAAACTATATCATCACCTCTAAACCTTCCCCATCTTTAGTACAAGGCAAAGGCAAATAAATTTCAGCCTGTGATATTGATTGCCCTAAGGTATATTTGTATGCTTCAGCAGGGATGTGTGAATGATCTTTACATGCCCTATTGAATTCAATGTCACTGCATTAAGAATGTAGCCAAATATACTTGTGGAGAGTCATTGTAGCGGCCACAATCTGCACTTCTTTTATGAAATGATATGTCAGCATATCTCGCAGAAAAACTCATTTTTTCTTTCGAACTTCAAATGTTCTTTCAATAACATCATGTAAGAATGAGTGTCTCTTTTTAAACATTTATTTCCTATCCCGAGCAACGTTGCTAGCTCTTTCAAAATCAGGAATGTGGTATTTGACATTAGGAAATGGTTTGAGAAACCTTATTTGTAAAAGATATCAAGCATCAACCAAATAATCTATCTCTGATATAATTTTAATCATTTAGTATTGCATTAAAAGTGTCATTTCATTTATTATTATTCAAGCAAACCTAGGGGTGGCTTCAGAAAGTTGTATTTCTGAGTTCTCATGGCAAATTTGAATATGAAACTATCATGTGAACTACTTTTTCATTCAGTCAAAACAAAACATAAGTACATGATAAAGTCACATACAACCATGACATTGTGTATGGGTGAACTGCACAGCCCAATGTGTGTTATATTTTCACAGTTCAACACTCGTGCAACCTATAAGTGACAACCCTTCCCAAATATGTGTTTATATGTGTGGGTGATAGTTCACCCACACATTGGGCTTATGCTAATATTTCCTTGATAGCCCAGTAAGTTTTATGCTCCAATTCTACTAGTAAGTGACAACTCTTCCAAAATATGAGTTTATATGGGGTCATTCCTATATGAGATTTATAAGTCGTCCTATATGCCCATAATGCTCCTTCCAGTTTATTAGACCAATCCATCCTATTATGATTTATAATTTTCTCTAAATATATTTTAATTTCTCGATTGAACAATTCTGCTAAATTATTGGTTTGAGGATGATAATAAGTGACAATTCTATGTCTAATACTATATTTTTTGACTAATGCTCCAATCTTCTTATTCTTAAAATGACTTCTCCTATATGTAATTATTATTATTGTCATCCCAAATCTACTAAAAATATTTCTCTTTAAAAATTTTGCATCACTTTGAGCATCATAGTGAGGTAAAGCTACAACTTCTATTCACCATGAACATACTCCACAACAACTAATATGTATATATTTTTGAAAAATAGTGTAAATAGTCCCATAAAGTCTAAACCTCAAACATAAAAAATTTCAACCCCTAAAGTAACATTGAGGGACATTTCATTGCTTCTAGAAATATTGTCTGCCCTTCAACATAGATCACATGTTTTTACATAAGTATTAACTTCTTTAATTATTTTAAGCCAATAAAATCCAGATTATAAAATTTTACATGCAGTTTTATCAATCTCAAAATGTCACCCAAAATCAGAATCATGATATTTCTGAATAATTTGTTGAGTTTCTTCCGTAGGTATACACCTTATAATTTGATCCTTACATTGTTTATATAGATATGGGTCATCTCAGAAGTACTTATATCATACTTAGATTTCCTTTATTGTGGATATGTCAAACTATAGGGTAAAATGTGACTAATTATGTAATTATTTATGTCGGCATACCACGGAACACGTCTTTCAGTTACAGTATGTAATTTTTTATCAGGAAATATTCATTAATTTCATTTTCAATGTAATCTAAATTTTCAGGTTGAAGCCTAGATAGATGATTAGTAATCTGATTATCAATTCTCTTCCTATCAACTACTTCAAAATCAAATTCTTCTATCAAAAGGACCCATATGATTAACCTATGTTTTGCAACCTTCTTTAACATCAGATATTTAATAGCAGAGTGATCTGTATGCACTATACATTTAGTTCCAATAAGATAAGACCTAAATTTGTCAAATGCATATACTATTGTTAATAACTCATTTTCTGTAGTAGTATAATTAATTTGAGCTTCATTAAGAGTTTTACAGCTTCATTAAGAGTTTTACTAGCTTTACTAGCATAATATATTATTTTGAAAATTTTATCATATTTTTTATCCCAAAACATCCCCAATAGCATAATCACTTGCATTAGACATCAACTCAAATGGTTTCCTCTAATCAGATGAAACAATAATAGAAGCGGAAAAAAAAATAAAAGAAGCGGAGATTAATTTTTCTTTTAATAACTCGAAGGCATTTAGTCACTCCTGATTAAAATCACAAAAAAAGTATCTTTTTCAAAGATTAGTCATAGAGGCTTAGTAATTTTTTAAAAATCTTTGATATATCGCCTGTAGAAATCAACATTTACTAAGAAACTCCATTCACTATAGTGGGAGGACATAGTTTAGTAATAAATTAAATTTTTGCTAGATCTACTTCCATATTGCTTTCAGAAATTTTATGTCCAAGTATAATTCCTCCTGTAACCATAAATTGGCATTTCTCCCATTTGAGAACTAGATTAATTTCTTTGCAAAGTTTTAGTGCTTTATTTAAATGATTTAAACATGATTCAAATGAAGTACCAAACACTGAAAGTCATCCATAAAAAACTTTTATTACTTTCTCAATTAAATCACAAAAAATGGAAATCATACATCTTTGAAAAGTTGTAAAAGCATTGCATAATCCAAAGCTCATCCTTCTAAAAGCAAAATCTCGTTAGGACTCATGAATGTGGTCTTTTCTTGATCCTTAGGAGCTATAAGAATTTGGTGATAATCGGTATGTCCATCCAAAAAGCAGAAATATCTATGCCTCGCACGTATGTCTAACATTTGATTCAGAAAAGGTAAAGGAAAGTGTCTTTCCTAGTGGTAAAATTTAATTTTCTATAATCAATGTAGATTCACCACCCACTGACTTGTCGAGTAGGAATTAATTCATTATTTTAATTAACAGATACAATCACTCCCCCTATCTCAGGAACATTGT